AGTAATAGACTTATAGAAAGTAACTAATACTAAGATTTTATATTTATAGACTTAAAAATAAGTCTATTAATAAAAGATAACTTTAAGGAAAAAGTTAGATAGTCTAGTAGTATTTAGTAGAAAAGCTTATTTAAGACTTAGTTATAATTAGGACTAGGTTTTTAGTTAAATAAAGCTTTACTGAATGAGTTATAGAGGTTTTGAATATAAAGGATAGCATACCTATAGGCTTGTCGTAGCCACATCCTCTCCTTGTGCCTGAAGTTTCCATTGGAACGCAGCGCAAAGTCTGCAACCAGGAATGGCCTAAAGACAAGCATGACGGGAAGATAGTACCCTGCCTCCAAGTCAGTTAACAGAGATTTCGCCCACTTTAAAGGGGCACGGCTTCTTACAACTATGCAGCATGAGTGACTCTACACAATCAAGCTTCTTCATGTTATGACCAGTGCTTGATGACGCGATGCCGAACTTGTCTGCGTAGTGAAGGAGTTGAGCGTGCACGTCTTCAGCTTTCTCATAGAGCTGGAGGAGGGATTCGGATCGGCGGTCGTATATCTTGTCCACGGCCTCTTCGATGATGATGGAGAGTCGGCAGAAGCTAACCAGCTCCGGTCGTTCCTTGGGCAAGGGGCAAGAGATGTCACTCATCTTGAGGGCGGATTTCCTGCCTAGAACGAGAGATGTCACCCTGCTTGGCGGTTAGACTAAAAAGTTACAAGTGCCAACATACAACTTTTTGACTTACGTTTAGTGGCAGTACAAGCTCCATATTGTAGCCCGTTGCGCTTCTAGGATTTCTTCCCTGTCGATTGTCGATGCTGTTTCCTTGTGCAGGCCCAGTGCGAACGCTTTTCGGCATGCTACGCCTAAATGTAGATACGCAGAGTTAGGCGGGCCCATATCCAGCTGGTAACCCGACATGAGGAGCGAGAACTGTAGCATCTGTAATGTTACAGCATCGTCGTACATAAGCACGTGATACTTGACCTTGGTGATTAGGATCTCAGCTGCATTGGTGTGAGAAGTGCATAAAGCACCGAGTGCCAAAACAGCCAGGAAAACGGCCTTGGTCTGAGGTAGCATGGTGCTGTTATCGTGTCCGTCGTCGTCTCTGTACAGATCATAGAAGAGGCTTTCTAACTCTAGGGGAGTGAAGAACGGTAGACGAAAGAGACATACATCCTTGAAGTGATCCAAAAAGCTTCTAGCCAGATCCTGCGGTATGTGTTGTAAAGGCTCATAAGGCCGGGTCACTTCAGCATCGATGCGCGACGGTGTGCCAAAGAATAGCGTTCGCTGCATGAACATGTCAAGCGACGACCCGCCTTATTGGACCTCACGGTTACGCGGGTGGTCTTGAGAGGGGGCATTCTGTAGGATACCGCGGTGAACCTGGTGTAGGAAGGCGAAATTGGACGACGTACCGTAGAAAAGCTGCGAGCTGTCCGTTGCCGTGGGTGCTGTGTGCGTGGCGGTAATTCCGTTGTGGACGCTGTCATCCGGGCTTGCGGAGCTGTTGGCTCGTGGTCCGGGGTTTGGTGCCGCAGGTCCCAATTCAGGACCACCACTACCGGCTCGTCCGGCATCGGCAGACAAAGCCATCGTCTCTGGCGCTGAGGAGACATACGACGGCGCCAAGTTGTTGTCCCCCTCAGTACTGTGACTCATTATGGCCTTGAGAGAGCCCCTGATGCGGGCTTTGGTACGGTACTTGCACTCAGAGACATGGGCCTGGCAGTAGGCACTTTCGCAAGGGCGCTTACCATTGCATCGGATCTTGCGCTGGCGACATGGCTCGCAAGCACGACACACTCTTCCTGCGCCGCGGTTCATCGTTTGTTGTGGCGTTTCAATTTATTATAAGAAACAAACAATAGTGACAGATAAAACGGACGAGATTTAGAAGGGATTTCGCCTTATCTGTATTTCTGCTGTTATATATATCCGGATATAAATCCGTTAATCCTTTCCGGGGTTCCGAATTTTAGCTTGGGGTTGATAATCGACCCGATTATTTAGTTTATCCTGACTAATAAGTTACTTACCTCGGTTAGATCGGACTAAGAAACTGTAATATACTATAATTCCCGCATGCCTTTTATCTTTCTGTACCCTTGGTTGTTTTTATCAAACTGAGATTATGAGCGACGGCAAAATATCTTCGCAGGCGCAGAGCAGTAAGCCAAGTTCCAAGAATGCTCGCAAGCGTGCCCAAAATCGTATTTCGCAACAATGTCGGCGCGAGCGTGACTCAGCCAAAGCAAGGCATCTCCAAAATTCACTTGCGGCAATCCAGTCTGCGTCTAGTCTGAATAACAAAGACCAATATTCTATTCTACTTCAAGCATACCTTGAACTCGTCGATGAAAATGAAAGCCTCCGTGAAACCGTTCTTGGGTTTCGCAAACGCTTCCTGAGCTTGAGCAACGCCGCTGCTACCGCTGCTGGTGATTATCTGTCCAAGATGTCTAAGAGATCATACTAACTAAATGACTATAGAGGACCCTATCTTCGAAAAACTGTTAAAGAAACGCAATAAAAATGTCGACCATTCAATGCTATTGCCTGAGAAATTGGTCGACGCGGAGTCGGATACCCCGATCGCTGATGCAGATGCAGCCATCACCCAATCCAGAGTCCAAATGGCAGATAAGAATTCTCGGAACACTACCTCCCTAAGCGCGGGCCGATTGTTATTCGACCCAGCAATGGCGTCTTCCTCGGATCCCACTGTGGGCTTTGACCACAATATCCGTGCGTTAGATAACTCGATGGCATTTACTCAAGAGCCCCTGATATCGCTGAGTTGCTTACCGTCTTTTAATTCGCATGAGATCTACGTCTACTCACCCAATGAGTTTGCCGACAAAGTTTTAAGTGCTTGTCGGCATTATCTCAATAACGAGATGCAAGCAGAACCTGCAGGGCTTGCGTGTTCCTCCATAGAGATACAAAATGAGCTTTTGAGTCAGCAAGTTGCTGCAGCTGCAATACGGTTTCTAAGTCGTGCGGCTGGGATTGAGCTCTATGTGTATCACACTGTGAGTTGCTAACCGATTACTTGCTTATCTGCTCAGGTTTGGTGGGCTTCTATTAACATATCCGTACTCTGAATAGGGCCGTGCAGACTACCTTGAGAAAATCGTGCAGTGGAGACTTAGCATGATTCCAGATGATGGTGCGGCTATTCCGAAACCCTTTGCGCCCACACGACTACAACATCGACAAAACGCTGGCGCAGTACCTCATCATCTGCTAGTCGATTTCATCTGCTGGCCGGAAATTCGGGATCAAGTTGCACTATATGCCACGAGCCTGAACTTGGATGAATTGCAGCGCGACATCGTTCGGAATACAGTCTTCGAAGCACCGCAATATGGCGTGGCATTTCATGTGTTTGATGTTTTAAATGCCGGAATTCTTAGTCAATATCAGCTTGATTACGAACAATCATCAACTTACGTCCGGAATATGGAGTGGATTTTCTTCAAAGCAATTGGAAAAGAAACTCATTCTGGCAATAAATATGATCCAGTGGAAGCAGCAATATTGCAAGAGCTCAAATTCATCATACAGCAGCAAAGTGCAGTATCGCTCCACGGGCTATCAATGCTGGAACTAGAACTAGGCATGAACCAGGTACTCAATGAGCCATTCCCAACACGCAATGCCACTTGGTGTGGATGGCCCGTTGGCAACGACACTGCGGCTGCTAACATGGAGCTGGGATCTGATGCTGAGAATGTCTTAGCGGCACAGAATCCTAGTCTCTGGAAAGTTAGTAAAACATTTGCAGAAAAATACCCCATGATCGACTGTTCATCAGGTAAGACTATCAGATGTCAGGAGTCAGAATCTTGCAGTTTTCCTACAGTATCTAACTAAAAGACAACAAAGTTGTATCTAGGTACGACACGGCCTGAACTATGTTACTGGGGCCTTGATTGCTATAGGTAGGGCAGTTATGGACTAGAGCCTCTAGCTATGATTTGTTCCTCTGCTAATTAAGTGATGAGCTGCAGAATCACACCATGCTCGGTCACTAAGTATGGAGTTGTTTAGAAGCAGTTTGTTTCGATACAACAGATTTTTAAATCAAGACTTGTAAATCTATCTTAGCCAAGAAAGGCTAGGTAATGCATATCTTTAAGGTCACAAAAGGTGTTAATGTATTTATGTGTTCACTCTTTTACAGTACAGAAATTTAAAGTATCTAACCTCAGAGGCTCGTTACATAGGCCAAGAGCTCTACCAAGGCCAGCGTGGCTCGTGGGTACCTGGAAAACAGCTTCCAACATCGTAGGCAGGCTTGGTTTTGTCAAAAGTTGTAGGTGGAAGAACATAAGTCAGCTTTTCCAATATTCCGCCCTCCTTATGAAAATCCGAATCGATGTTACCCCAATTGCTATTCTTGAACAAACTTGGCACAGAACTTTGCAGGGACACAATCATTTTTTGTGTCGCTGTGAAGATGGTATGATAATGTCGGAGCTTCAGGTCCTGGTGTTGAGCTCGAAGGGCTGCTTGAGTCTCCTCTGGATACTCACCCAAAGAAAGGAGAAATTGGTTGTACTGGTTGAGTGAGACATTTACCAGATAACTGCCACCTTCATTTGCCCGCCTGTCCACGGCAGCAAGAATGCCAATCAGGCCTATAATGCCGGTCCTTTTTGGTTCAGGTTAGTATTGCAGTCAGTTCAGGTAGAGTGAGGATACTTACTGATAGTCTGAATTGGGCAAAGGCGGGACCACCGGCTCGTCGAGCCCGAAAAACCTGCCGACGAGCCAGCTGACGCCCGTGAAGCAGTCGGAGATCTGCTGCCAGCCGCTCCGGTGTGCGTGGGGACCATGCCACCCGTAACAGTTCTCCCTCAAGATGACGATGCCCTTCTGGCGCCGCTTTGCTATTTCTTGCAGATATCGAGATCCAAATCCAAGTTTATCCAACGCGCCAGGACGATATCCGTCGATAACTACATCAGCGTCTTGCAATAGTTCCAGGAACTGCGATTTCCCCTCCGTAGACTTGAGATTGATCGACGTGTCGAGTTTCCCGAGATTGCCATCGACTAATAACAACCCAAGCTCGGGCTCGGATGCACACGACACTCTTAGTACTGTGGCACCATAAAGAGCGGCAAGTTTTGAAATAGTTGGCGCTGCAATGACGCGTGATATATCGAGTATCTTTACTCCTTCCAATGGGCGGTATTTGTTTGCCTGACCACCAGAGGCATACGGTACCGGCGGTATGATGTGTTTGTCAACTTGCTCCAGAGAATATATGGCGTCGTTTGCAATGGCTTTTCCTTGTTCCGACGCGTGAAACTCATCGGGGGTGAGACAAATGGTACCCGCCTGTCGCCAATGCTCATTCGCTTCCACGTCTAGCCACTGGCTATCGTGTTGAGATACCGCCTTGCAATATTCCTGGATTATCTCCATCTCGTCGGTCATTTCAGGTCGATGGAGAGGAAGTTTCATCATAGTGAGAGTTTTGTCCGAATTGAGGCTGCCGTGGAGATGGAAAAACCGTCCGTCTCTCGTCGGGTAGACATTGGTACAGTTGAACCGCCACCTCTCAAAGATGTGACCCAAGTCGTATGCGGAATAACGCGCGGCGAGATCAGCATCGGTCAGAGGCTTCCCATCAACGCGGGCTACTAGACCTGAGACCAGAAAAAGGCTAGCAAGGTCGGTATTGACGGTAACACTCTGTTCAATGGCGTAACGTTCACGCACGATAGCGTTGGCATACGTAGCCGCCAAAGCCCAGAGTGCAGCGCTTGACTCGGTCACTTTGAGCGGGACAGGGATATATGGCGTAGGAATGGTAAGCGAATCGAATACAGTCCTTTTGGCAAGTTCGTGGACCTTGGCTGGCAGTGCAAGTCTTGCATCGTTCAACAAAATCTCATGGAATACATGGGCTGATTCTTCCTGAAGGGTTGGTTGGCTCGGAGACATGGCGATTGGGTCGTTTGGCATTTGTTTTATTTGTGCTATTGATAGTTTGTGAAGATAAAGAGTTAGTGTCAGACCGGTTCGAGAAGCGGTTGATGCGAACATATATATAAATATCTAATATTGATTGTGTTCACTACCCAATGCTCCTATGTCAGCGCGTAAATTGTTTTTGGACTTAGTCTTTGCCGCATCTGCATTTCCTTTTCATTTCCGCCTGCCTCATTCTCCGCAGAAAGCTGCACTGTTTGTCGATTTTATCTGACGACTTGGGTAAGCCATACACAAGTGTGTTGGAATTTTCACACGATTCGGAACGTTTGACCGAAACTGTGGGAAATTTCTGACACAAGGAACATATTTTAGTTTGTCTCTAGAATGAAAAAGGATAGACTGGATGCTGATCCTCACAGGAAGTGGGGCCCCAGAATATTGATTGGGGTACCGAATCATCCGGGCCCAGTCGCACCATCTCTCGCCGTTGCATGCGATAATAATAATGGTAAGTCAGAGTATCTTATAAGACGTATCATGGAAACCTCAAAGTTGAGTAGTCCGAGTCACAATCTTCACTCAATTCACAACTTATCTCTCCTGATCAACCATCGTCGAAAGAGACATCCATTCTCCTTCCCATCATGACCTCTTCTGTACGAATTGCTAATTGTAGTGGATGCACTGGTGAGCCTTGTCCGAATTTGGCAGCTGGTTCCCCTCTCTTGCTTATTACCGATATCTAGGTGACGGTCCCGAGGCTCTTGGCCGGGTTGTTAGAGAAGGTCGAGTTGACTTTGTCACCGCGGATTACCTTGCGGAAGCAAACATAGGTGTGGATTTCCAAGTAAGAACCAGTGACGCAAGAGCTGACACAGTTTTCAAGCCTGGCAAGCTCTCGAAAGGAACAAGGATGCCACCAAAGGCTATGACAGGGAATTTCTGAAAGCCTTTGATCAGGAAACGGCACATATAGTTGCCGAGAAAGGTATCAAGATCATCCACAACGGTGGCGGGTTAAATCCCCAAGGCCTAGCTCGAGCGATTGAGGAGCTCTTAGCTTCCTACGGCATAGATTCCCTGAAAGTGGCTTACATCGAAGGGGATGATGTTATTGGAATGATTGACAACTTGAAGCAGTCCGGTGAGCTCGTTCATCTTGACAACCCTGACATTACGTTTGATGCCGTCCAGCCCGATATTCTATGCGCCAACGCATACCTTGGCATGGGCGGCATTGTCGCCGCTCTGGAGCTCGGCGCCGATATAATTATCTCTGGTCGATGCTGTGACGCCAGCACAGTGATGGGTATGTCCTCCGGATAAAAGCTTGAACATTTACAAACTCAACATAATACAGGAGCCGCTACCTGGTGGCATGGATGGAAATCCTCAAATCTTAATCAGCTTGCTGGCTCTCTCATTGCTGGACGTGAGTTTCCCGTTCTTAACGATACGAGATATCCGAGTTGATGTCTGATAACCTTTCATGCAGATTGTATCGAATGCGGTTGTTATGCGACTGGCGGAAACTTTTCTGGCTTCAAAAATATCCCCGATAATCAAAACCAGGGCTTCCCGATAGCTGAGATTGAAGCAGATGGCACATTCCACATCTTTCTTCAGGATCAGGCAAAGGGCCTAGTTAGTCGTGACACAATTACAGCTCAGCTGGTGTACGAGATCCAAGTAAGTGGAGACGGGCAAGTCAAGACATAGATTCTAATTGCTTGATACAGGGACCCTTCTATCTCAACCCCGACGTAATTGCGGATATAACGAACGTAACTATCACGGATTCCGGAGCAAATCGGTAAGCAATGCTAATATACCCTGGCAGAAACAAACCCCACTGAGATGTCACACAGCGTTACTGTGAGTGGGATTCAGGGCCTGTTACCTCCCCCAACAACCAAACTCGCCGTTTGTTCTATTGGGGGTTACCAGTGCGAAACTTCTGTATACGCAGTCGGGCTCGATATCAAGGAAAAGCTAGCTGCATTGGTGGAAGCATTTGACCAGAATCTCCCGGACAAGTCCAACTACCAAACCTTTCGTATCAGCCAATATGGAGTACCACAAGAGAACCCCTCATCCCAGGCTTTAGGAACCTGCCAATTCCGGATCTTCGCTCAATCCTCTCGACAAGAACCCCTCCATCGTGTGAAAGAAGTTTTGATGGGCTACTGGCTCGGCGGATTTCCTGGGATGCACTTGAACATGGATTTCCGAACGGTAGGAAAATCTATGTACTAATTATCCTGTGACTACCTGCTAACCTTTGTTTAGTTGGAGCCTAAACCATACGTGGCTTACCTACCATTCCTCATCAAGTATGATCGGCTGCGTGTACGGACTGTTTGCGGAAACCAGGCTCTGCAAATTGCCAGCCCCCCCATGACTGCACCTTTCACTGGTCAAAATCTTAAAGACGCTGACCAGCCATATGATCCGGAAATGTATGGACCAACAGAAAAGGTTCCTCTCGGCACCAGGGTCCATGCTCGCTCGGGGGACAAAGGTTCCAACGCAAATGTCGGGTTTTGGGTTCAACAGAAAGATGAATATGAGTGGCTACGTTCATTCATGAGCGTCAAGACGTTCAAGGGACTTCTCCGTGACGAATATGATCCCAATTTTACCATAGAGCGCTTTGAGATGCCGAATATCCAATGCGTGCATTTCCGCATCAAGGGCATTTTAGACGGTGGCGTCAGTTCCACGCCTCGGCTCGATGGCCTCGCAAAGAGCTTTGGCGAATTCTTGCGTAAGTTTCCTTCATTATGTCTTGCTTGTCCAGCATTCTCAGTCTCAGCCTCTAGTGGCTCCAAAGTTCTGTTTTAGCGCTAATAAGTCATTCTATATATAGGAGCACAATATGTAGATATGCCAGTTCGGTATACACGATCTAGTTTAATTTAGTTCTAAATTCTAAGAGTTGTTGCTTAAGGCTTACTGTAATAAGCTTATACTATTATTTATATATCTTCTATTAACAAAGGCTGTCACATTCATCGAGCTCTTTAGCAATGGCTTCGCTTTGTCAGGGTGGACTGAAGACAAATATTACCTTCCTTGAAACTAGGCACTATATTGGAATAAAGTGACAGAGACAGCATCACTACTATACATAAATTGAAGCGACGAATGAACATAAAGTATCACTAATGTTTTAAACTACTTAAGTTTGAACTCTACCCTACATATCAACTTTCGTTAGATCAATTTCGGATCGCCATGCAAACCCGGAGCTTCATCATATACATGACGCCGTCACATTTGGCACCGCCCTCCGTCACCGACGCGATATCCAAAATGTAGAACCCGAGGTCAAAGTTCGCTTCTTGATGCCATCTGTTGCATCCATGCTACGCTGAGCTTTCACCTGCAGAAGAGTCCTGACGTCCTTTGGTAGTACTGGTGCCGGTGTCGACCCCATCAATTTATCGTCGGTCAAGTCGACTTCTGGTGTAGGTGGAGGCTGAGGTTGGGTAGTATTGGCGCAACCATGTAGATACCCTCAGAGAAGATCTGGTTCTCATGTACATATGAGGGTGAGCAGTCTGATGCGGATAATTGATGAGGCCGGGCACAGAAATAAGTTCAACCTCAACAAAAGCAATAAAGACAAATCAACACACATGGGCATATACTCCTTGCCTCCCCTGACACTGGATAAGAAGGATCGACGATCAAATTCACCCAGCATCAGGGAGGGCAACGAGTATATTGCCCATTAGTGTTGATATGTCCCCCTTACCGATGAATTGCTCCTGTAGCTCTGTTGAACTTATGATAGCTTCAAGGAGTCCAGCCCCGCCAAGGCCACTGCCACTGACGCGGAGGAATCCGACGGGGACCAAGATATGCAGATTCTTTGTGTCGTGCGCGAAAGGGCTTGACAGCCTTTAAGCAAGAAATTGACAAATAGAATGTAGGCCAAATCATCCTCTGGTAGATCGGGGATGACACGCTTTTGAACAATAATGGCGAATGTCATTGACACTGAAGTCACACCTGGAATCTCTGGGGTGAATGCTTTGAAGAAATTCTGTGGTTTCCTGTGACTGTGTCCTTTGCATTGATGTTTCACAGTAGATCGTTGACAAGTGGCATGTTATTATGGTTTGCATCTTTACCGTGGCATGGTCTTGTGCATCTCATGATGAAGCTGAGTGATCTAATGATCGAGCTAATTGTGGAAGCAAGTATTGACTCCCAAGGCTCACTACGCGATTGAATGGAGCAAGCTCGGGGCAAAAAGCGTCGTGCCTGACCTGGCGGCCGATATACTCCTCGAGTGAAGGGTCTTTGCGTTGCGACTGCTAGACATTTCCGAAGCATTCAGGAATCCCGGTGATGGTTCTTTGACTGTGAGCAGACTAAGGTTTTGGGTCGAGGATGACGATGTCGTCGACGATAGTACTTATGCCGTTGGGGCCCAAGCGAATTAGGGATTTGCTGTTAAAGACATCCAGGAGCCGGTTTCCTCCGTTGTTCTTGTTGATGTTGACCTTCGTTGTTGTCGGGCTATCGTGAAGTAGCAGCTTGAAGCCATGCTTTGCACATGGTCGAGCATCACCCGATCACTGGCATTGTTGAGGCTTGTCTTCGGTTCTTGTTACTGTTGATACTGAGCTCTGTCGCTGCCGGGCTATTGTGATGGAGGAGTTTGGTAGATGCTGCGAGCACTTATATTTGCGGTCAAGCACCTCTTGTTGATCTGCTTACGTAACTCGGCTTGGAGCTCTGGGGGACAATCTTGACAGTTGAGTGGCCATCGATTGCCGAAATGTTCCAAGGATTGTCGTAAGGCTTTGTTGGATCCTACTTAACATCGCCGCCCCGTTGTGATAAGCATTACTCACTAGCTACACTGCCAACCGCGAACAGTATTTGATGAGATAGACGTGTAATTCCTGTTTAAGGCCCCGTCCCAAAGACATCAAATATGTGGAGTCTTTCATTGCACTCTTCTGTGAACTTTTCGTGCAGCGTATCGCCTCTTTGCACTCAGGGAGGGACAGCTTTGAGAAGTAAGGCTTTTGGGTCAAACCTGACCTGACAATCTTCTGAACCTGCGCGTTGACCATGGGTTTGCGCCGAGGTATCAGCATCAACACTCGCGTTGACGGTAGCCATCTATGCCTGAGACAAGATTGGGAAGAACGCCCATTGAAGCAGGGGAAACTGACACTCAACGGGTCGACACAAAGTACAACATAGCTGATATGCTGACAAAGTCGCTTGGCAAGGGGCAAGGTGATGGACCGGATCCACGTCCTTTGTGGCTATCCCCACGTTGTCAAAGCGCAGTCAAATCTATTCATCGTTTGGATGATCTTTTTGATCTCCCTCATTTGTCCTTCGGACTCCAGCTCGGAGATAGCAAAGTCTTTGAGGTCGACAGCAAGCTCGACGAACAACTTGTAAGCGTCATAGGGCTGAAAATACAATGCCAGCTCCAAGACCTGAAACGGTCATGATGCTATTCTTCTGCACCTGACGGTGGTGTCCGGCCTCGAGTTTGTTGCATTGGATCATGGATCATGTTATTTGCGTCGATGGAACTGGTCCGCTGAGGCGTGGTGCAGACAGTTTGGAGGATCCAGTCGAAAGTCCCACGCATGGTGCCTTGGGACAGTCTTCCGGTTCATTGGCAATCTCGTGCCCATCATGAACTCGACTGTTCTTCCTTTCAGGGGCTAGGTCCCTCAAAGCAGTTCCCAGCAGAGTCTGGTGAGTGGTCTCTGAGTAAGGGGCGATGAAGACAACAACACCATAAGAACTCATCGGGAATATACATGTCAGCTTCTTCTTCATCGTCACGTCGTGCGTTAAAAAGGGCGGCATCGTTGTTGACAATATCACCTGCCCCTGTCATCAAGGTCCTGGTCTCAGAGAGCCAGCTTTCGGAAGTGACAGACAGGGAGCCAATCGGCCTGCGGAATTTGGCTCGCCAGAGACACATAGAATGTTAGGGATCAGAATATTTTCCATGTACTCATTGAGCTTATAACAAGCAGAAATATCGACCTCGAGGGGAGAGACTGGCAACGACACAGGTCTATATATACCGGTGGAAGAAGCGACAAGAAGCAATTGAAGTAGTCAGTCGCTCGCAGTGACGAGCCAGGAGATCTCATTCTATACCAACCCCATTGGCAGGGTGGCGTGACGTGGTTTTTACGAGAGCGGGCGGCTGTCTGTTGGGCATATCGAGGTAGCCCAGCTGAACGTGGATTTTGGATGCCCCGGAGCCTTGGACCGTTGTCAGGCTGCCTATGAAGATACCGGAATTTTGATGTTGACTTATCAAAGTTTAGCTTTGGGCCCAGCTCGTCAAAAGCCTCGACCATCCAGTCTTCATGGCCAAGAAGGTACTGCAGGAAAAGGGGGTGCGATCCATCGGATGGGCTTCCGAAAATGACCAATTCCCATATCGTGAGTCGTAGTTCTGTTGGTAGCTTGGGAAAGCTGGCGAAAATATCGGGCTGTCTGCGTTGCGCTACAGACAACACGCAAAGAAAGTCACTGTCGACAGCTGCCAGTTGCTGTGGATCAAGAGGCAAATTCGGCATCATTTCGATCCGATTGATCCAAAAGTCATGATCATCACCCTTCCATAAGACCGAAACACCGTCAGCTCCTTTCCCCAGGTCTGATAGGATCATTTTCTCATCTGGAGACGATGATGGGGGTGAACGCAGACAGAAGCGCAAGGCATTGTTGCAGCCAGGCCAGTGAAGTGACAGGAGGACCGTTCGTAGTCTTCGTCATCGTCCACCGCTATAGCTGGAGTATTCGGTAGCTTTGCCGTGGATTGTGCCCTGTATCTGTCGTTCTTCATTGTTTCTGAGGTCCCACAGATGGTGTGGGAGTTGGGTTCCGAGATAGGTTAAGACGTGTGAGAAGTTGCACATAAGTATAACCTCCATAGGCCTTTCAGTCCGATATATGGCATAATTTCAGCCAGCGTAACAAGGTCCTTCCGCGCCTTCCTGGGGATATCGCGGTTGACTCTTCAAGATACTTGATACCACCAAAATCAATCGCATTGCCATGGGACCATGGAGTCTGTTTGGCCACGATCGCTTGGTTGGGTGACTGGAACTAACCCATGAAGGAGCCGCGGGTCTTTTGAGCTAGGCTCTTCTGTACGGTCGAGATTCGTCTGGGGGTGTCAGCTTCTGTGGCCGTGCACCTTGAGGAAGCCGCATCTCGTGGATCTGGGCTTTCAATACAATGTGCTCCTCTTGTATATTATATATACAAGGCTTGTCCGATGATACGTGCGACGAGATGAAGACGAAGCTTTCGTTCCTCATTTGCAAGCTCCGCCAGGGCGCTGAGATTGTCCCGACGAATTAGAAGGCAAGATGGAACGAGAATGCTCTCGGCACTACCACCAGCACTATCTGTCGCTTCAGTCTGTTGCTCTTGAGTATTGATAATCGTGCGTGTGGCTGTAGATATTGGCTGCAACGCTTTCAGATTCTTGGCGCTGTGAGTTCTAGGTGGCGCAGGTAAAGCAACAAATAGAGTCTTGGGGTGGTTGAGGACTCTCATATCTGATTCTCAATCTGTATGTGAGTCAAAGATAATACGCTGGTGAAAGAAGCAAGCATCCCCATTAGGTGGAAGTTCTTGATGATGCTCGCCAGCCAGACCGCCGTCATTTGAACGGCACCGAACTGGCATTTGCCGTTTGCTTGGTGGGATTCTCTTGACCAAGAGAGTTGAAGATCGGAGATATAGCTGACTGTCATTCATAGTTCCCCCCTCGAGGCCAAAGCCAAGACACCGAGGTATAATCTGAGGTAATCTGAGGCTGGGATGGAGGTTGATGATGGAGACGAGGTATGCAATCAGCTCGGATCTTGAGTTATTTATCCGAAGGAGTATGGTTTTGCGCTGGCCTCCATCGGGATTCTTGAGGAAGAGGGCGAGTTCGATCGCGAGGCAGCTTGTTGTCATGACGTGACCTGCGCTCTTGGGCAGATCTGTGATGTGGTCTTCGTCGGCCGTGTTCTTGGGTCCTGTCCAGACCCATCGCGAGTCGGTGGTGTTTCTTCGGGCCATTGCTTGGTGTCAACGTACGATGACATTTTAAGCATGACCGCTGGTGGTCATTCTCCATTGGGTCAAGTAGCACTTGTAGTTGACAGTATATCGATATCTCCACATTGTTTATATAAAAGTAAACCGAGAATTGATCATCAGCCGGTCGTGATGATATTGCCTGTTAAAGAGCCCTCGTGGGATCAGGATGATCGCTCGTGTGTTCTTCTGGCAGCTCAAAGTCAAGCATATTGATCTCGTCCTCCGGGTGGAAGTCCAAGGTATGCGTCTCATTAGCCTTGGAGAATTGGGTTGATCTATCAAAAGATGTCAGCCGTATTCATTGCTGTTATAGAGGTTGGATAAGAACTTACCGAAACTTGGTCATTCGCTTGTAGGTTTGAACGTCATTCAGCCTAGCTGTATCGTTAGGCCGCATTCTGAGGCCGCTGCCGCATGAAAACCTGCCTTCCGTTTCTTCTCCTTCTCCTAAGTTTCTATTCAGGAGTCTTCGTCAGAAATGATTGTCAAGAATAACATGAACGCCACCGGCGTCGATATTCTTCGGTTTGTTGTCGAGACAAAGCCGCCCGGGACTTTGACTGGGATACGAATACCAGCCCTTTTGACTTTGGTCTTCCATCGCAGATTCTGGATCTCTTCAAGTGCGTCGAAGTATCTCTGTTGCTTTCTGGACCTCCGACGCATGGAAAAGGTTTCTGTACGCTGTCATTCGACACAGTAACGTCTTGGAATATGGATGGTTTCATAGCAACAGCAAGGAGCCTCAATGTCAGCCTCTGCGATGCCAGCCTCTGTCGGGGTCTCTGTTGTCTGCGCGGGCTTTTCTTCCACAGAGGTAGTTCCCGCTTGATGGTTCGGTCCGTGGGGTGTTGAGGTTAGGTAAAGCCATAAGAATTTGACTGCCTTGACTATCTAGAGCGATTCTTTTGCGGGTTCATACATTGCGAGCTACTGTTTCATTGCTATGAGGTTAAAGGTGAAGCTCTGAGGCTGGGACATCGCTTAGATCCGAAGGTCGACAACGCGGAATTTCGAAGTTGGACACAAAGTCACCCAACGCACATCGCATGTGTTTTGTTGTGTATTGCTGGTGATATTTAATGAGTTTCGTTTTAAATTGGCACTTGTTATGATCTGTCTGGGTTTCGTTAATGGAGATACTTGTAGATTGGTCTTGGGGGACTTACTTCACCCGTGGGGCCCAGCTCCTGTGCGCAGCTCTTGTCTGCTGTTGTCCAGCGAAGTATAGGTAGAAGTGGTGTGTTTTTCGTGCTGTTCTAGTCCACCTTGTAACATACCGTTAGGATGTAATCAGTTTGAGGTCGTTATCTGATCTCGGATGGTGTCGTGGATGAGAGGTTGATGTCACCAAGAAGCTATGCCATTTCGTCGTCAGTGCGTCAGTCAGCTTAAGGATAAGAAGCCTTGTCGTTAGTACCCCTGTTGACTTGAGAGCCGTCCTTTCGCTTGCGCAGTGCAGACATCTCGGACAAGAACCAACGTATACTCAGCTCCGATGTGATAAAGAGCCGTGCGGTGTTGTTGGCTTGTTGTGGGCTTCCAAATCACAGGGACACAGAGACCCTCATGTATGGGTTGTTGGAGACGGGGTATGAGTCAGTTCGTCTCCCTGTTCATTTGGTCCTTGAGTTTGTACCGTTTGGTGGTGATCCTCGATGTGTGATCGGAACTAGGAGACGGACAAGACATGTCATGCGCATCTCTTTCTTCTCATTCTTTTTAAAGCGGAAAGCGGGGGCAGGCCTTCTAGGACCATCGCCTGATGATTGGTCAGGGGCTTGAAAGAACCCATGATCTCCGCGATCTTCCCAGGATGCGGCTCCCAATCTTGACATCTGGGAGCTATCGTTACAGATGAAGACCGACATATAGTATAATCTTTGCGACAAATAGCTTGTCCTTTTGTAGTAGTATCAGTAGCAGTCATACTTGTATTCAGAACCTGATTATCCTCAGTGTTTTTCACTCAGCGCTCACCGCAGTGAGTCAGAGAAGTGCTTCTGTATTTAACGAGCCAACCACAATCGGGACTCTATAACATGGATGCCTCGATTGAATGTCCTTGTGCATTTTAGACCTGACGGAGTGAGTGTTCCGCCTGCCCACGGTCGTCCCCATGAGCCTCGTTGTGTAGTCCCAGCTGAGGAAAGGTTTCGATGATACTGCGGACATAGGATACTCAGTTTTCTAGGATGAAAGTTTCAAGAGGAAGAGATCTTTCCGTCCTCTTGAGGGTCTTCTTTGCCGAGGAAAATAATGGTATTCGCGAAGGGACAAGAGTTTGTCACTCCTCCCGTCCCGAGGAGACTTTTGTCGAACTCCTCGGGAGCACCCTTGGTACGGAACGGGATGGCATTTGCCGGAGAAGTTAATAGTCACGTCAAGGTATTCGACGGTAGCTTCATTGCACAATGCGGTCGCGTGTCTCTTGAGGAAGAAGCTAAACTGGATCGCAGCCTCTTCAATCTGTCGATATTCTAGATCAAATTCTTGGATAGCCTCCGAACACTGCCATGCTCTGATCGGAGAGATGAACCTGGCGGGCAGAAGGCGATCACAGTGGCAGAGACATGTATGTGTTCGGCAACATCATGGGTCTCTGAGATGTGCTCAATCGCTCTATCTTGATCGCCGATCAGATGCCTTCCGTAGAAACTGGATAATGTCGCAGATACCTTGGTGATTTACCTCGTCAGTAGTCTCAGAAGAACGTTACAAGGATAGCCTCAAGTCAAGTCACAGTCGATCCGCCACAGGCTCAAACAGCGCTGCAATCCAAGTAGTCGGGGCACCACCTTTCAGATTTGTTGTCCTCGCAGATGTGAGATGTCTGGTTTGTTATCTCCTGGTTTGAGACCGTTCCAAAACGCCTCATACGGAGTGATTCAAACATATTCGCCATCCACTCGGGCATTGTTGCAGTAATGATAGCCTTCAATGCCGCTCAAGTCTCTTACTTCTGGAGACAACATCTTCTCCCTGAAATCTTTGGCTGTGCCCTTCTCAGTTGTCTTCTTCGTCTTGACAACGTCATTCCCTTCCGTAGTAGGGTATCCGAGGTATGGTTTGAAGGCTTCCTCGGGCGTCGGGTATGTGTAGGATGGCCCGTAGGTCTCATCTTCAGACGTCTTGATAGTCGTAGTATCCTGGCCAAGGCAATTCAGCTTACAGGTGTGCTCGCTTGGGAAGTCTTCTCCAGACTGTATTTATAAAGGCTCGACCTGCAGATTTGCTGCAATCTGAGAAGAACGGCCGTTGGGTGTTGCAAGGTAGCATACTCGATAGAGGGCATGTGAAGTCAGGGCGTCCAGGGAGTTGCTGTCTTCTTTCCTGCCCTGATGCAGACAAGATTATAGTCACGGCAAAAGTCCGTCGCTCTCTTCTAAAAGGGCTAGTATTGAAACTGTTCTTTATGCGCAAGTAAAGATCGAAAGGTGTCTTGGAATAATGACCTGTTGACTTTGCTGGATGTAGCGTGCTCCAGCTATCATATCAAAAGGCATTTTCCCGGTATCCACGTTGAATTCGGCTTCGGGTCCCACTCCTTGTAAGTCGAGTTCTGAAGCTGACTACATTCGAAGCTGACTCCAGGTTCACCGCTGACGTCGTATCCTGCGAACTTGCTGTTGATTGTATCATCATAGATTAAAATCATAGGTGGGGGAGGATGTGGTTTGGATCTAGGTTCTCTCTGCTGGAATAAGCTCACAGCCACAAATCTCAACTGCAAAT